AATATTCATCTGTTAATTTCCCATAAATAAGGGGCGTCCTTCGCGATACATTTCTCTTCTAACGATTTGCCGGTCAATTTCCCTGGTATCGAGGAATACCGCCGATAAAGCAGGCGATCAATGGTGCTTGGTGGCGCATAAACTCCGACCGTCGACGAAAGTCCGGATTTCCTTCCTTTCCGGGCGTTTCATCCCCTTCCTGGGAAGGGCCCTCGCCCCGTGGCCACGTCTCGGAAATCCCTCGGTATAATTTCATCTGTGCCACTCGGTGGCGCCGCAGCCACTTCCTTTCCAACACTCGACTGACCCCGCCAAACTCGGTCTGGACGATGAACAATTTCCGGATCGGCTTTCCTCTCTTTCCAGTTCCTACCGCGAATGCCGTTCCGTCATCCACGAATCTACTCGAAACCTTTTCGCGCCGTCTCCGACTTTTCGTCCTAACGACCCAAGTTTGCATTCGACGGGGTGTACACGGCCAGGCTGGGATTGGACTTATGGGCCGAAGTAGATTTTACTTCTTATTACCATCTCAGTCATAACCTCGCTGCAAAGCAACGTGAAGAGTCATCCGGGGTACCTCTGTACCATGAACAAATGTGCGGTTACTTAGCGTTACCAATCCTGTGGCCTGGAAATCCTGGAAACTGTGGACCAACGATTTGACTCCTCAGATACATATAGGCTGACTTTCATTTCCTCTTAAGTGTTCGGCCACTGGTATACTTATTGGGGTCAATCCCGAGCCGAATCCCAAACACCCTACAACAACCATGGTACATGACCAGTAAAGGTGGGCTGAAAAACGGGTGTACGGGAGATCATGGGGAACCCGCTGATGGGAGCGATCGGGGTGAGTGAATTCCCACCTCGGAGAATACTTAGACCAACGATTTGACTTCTCAGATATATATATATAAGCTGACTCTTTCATATCCTCTTAAGTGTTGGGCCACTGGTATACTCACTTTACTGGGGTCAATCCCGAGCCGAAACCCAAACACCCTACAACGACCATGGTATATAACCGGCAAAGGTGGGCTGAAAAACGGAGGTATGGGAGATCATGGTGAACCATGGAGCGATCGGGGTGGGTGAATTCCCACCTCGGATTGAAGCGAGACGCAAGGGTGACGGGACAGGGGCTGGCTAGGCTGGAGGTCGCGATCCATGGGAGGGGACTTGACCCGCCAATTCAGCATCACCCGTACGAGCACTCAACCGCAAATCGAGTTCCGGCCGAAGGGCGGAATAAAATCGTCCCTCCCATCGGCTGATTCGCATGTAGGCAGGCCAGTAAGACATTACTCGCGAGGGACGCGTTTATTCGCCGTAGGGGCTCCGAGAGCCGGTGGAGTGTTGGTGCACGGGTTGCCGCGTTCGTGTGACCGCCGTTCGTACATAAGGGGTGCGGAAGAGTGAGAACTAGGGAGGAATAGAGATACGGGAAGAGGAGGCGGCGGCTTTAATGGGTACGGAAGAATAGAAGGTCGACGGAGCCCGGGCTAGGGGATGTTACTCGCTCGCTTCCGCCGGATATGACGTCCTGGATGTCGTTGCGCGTTATCATTCTGGTGTATTACGCGTACCTAGCCTTAGTTCGTAGGTTCGTACCGACGATACGTGTCGGCTGATTTATGCGCGATATCCCATCGGCCACCGGATCAGTTTATTGTTGAGATGGACCCGGGACATGGTCGATTGCACCGAAGTGCCGTGGGCGAGGGTGTTGTCCGTCATCCGGCACTTCGCGAGCGGGTATTATGGACCTTACTTTGTTCGCTACCCGGGGACTGATAAGACGGATGAGTGGTGTAATTTGCCACCGCAGACTGCAACTGGGAATCGGAAGGGAAATTAGAGATGCATCTTACGAGCTGGGGTTATGATGATCACCAGGATTTAAAATGGACTGGGATGTTTGCCTGGTGATTAGGATTTAGGGAAACGTTTTTTATGTCACTGCTTTCGTTTCATCCAGGTCATCGCAAGCGAGCGTTACAGGTTTTATGTTAGCTGCTAGTCGAGAACTGATTTTATTAATACTATAATTATGTTTGCACGGTAATTACTGTTCAGCGATAACAGCTTTGCCATTTGCTCTCCTTGTTACCATCATTGGAGAAATCCCAACAATTGTGTGGTACATCATACCCTCGTCAATGAAAAATCAGCATGAAAAGTAAAACCATCAAAGTTAATTCAACGAAGAAATATGACAGTTTCAACAGTGAATGTTTATACTGTATCTGAATAATTACGTTGGAAAAGGTAATTCCTTACATGGCTTGTTTTATCTAATTTCGGTACGTTAACGGGCTTTATGATATGTATATGGTTGAACAGATAACACTATCGTGTCCATAAAGTGGACGCGCGCCTCGCGATCTCCGCAAGACCAGTAATGACCAAGGGAACTTTCCTCCTCGTCCAGTAAATACGCACTTCAATGTATGTTTCGCCTTGTTGGGTTACAAACTCGATCCATTGTTGCACGGTACAACCTTCGCGTACGAATTATCACAGTTCGAGAAATCAGAGCCAATTAATGATTTCAAGTAATCACTTGTGCTACTCATGATAACACAGGACATAAAATATTCCACTTTATCGTACTTGACATGCAGTAAAGAGAAACAGTGGTACAATACCTCAAAGTAAAAAGAGGAGGGCTAAAAGATGGTTCAACGAGAACATCCAGTACTTCTCCAAAGGCACATTTTTTGTACCACAAGTAATCACTTCGATGCTGGTTAAAAGGGTTAATAGATTGTAAAATTCGCTTTAATCAAAGTGAGTTCAAAAGAGAATGGAAAAGTATAACGAATGTTTGCTTATGCGGCTCTTTTATTTTATGTTTTACAGAGAAATTAAAATAGAAAGAACTTTTGAAATGCTTCAAAACGCCGGACTTGTGGAGATTGAACGTTTCAGACTTTTCCTTTCACGGTGTACATGATTCCAGGCGAACGGCGAGTTTGAATCGCAAAGTTAAAGTGGTTTTAGAAACCATAAAAGATTATATTGGAGTACCGATAGCAGGAATTTTTTATGCAAATTTCTGTTCAAAAGTTATCGACAGTTAAAGTGCAAAAAGCAAGGAAAAGGAAAGGTCATTATTTGGGTCTGAATTTCTTTCTCGTAAAATAATCGCGCCATAAGTTCGCAATTAATTATACGAATTGTAATAATGAAATGACAGGTTTCCCTTGTAATATTTTCAGAGCTTCTCGTCTCGATTCAGTTAGCAAATTACTATGTTTAATTAGACTGGAGTTTATGTATACTCTCGACATGTACCCTCCGATGTAAATAGGCTTTCTTCTCCGTGGTTGATATCGACTTTAAATGCGGCATTGATATCAGGAAATGAATTTAACGGAGCCGATAGGCAGCGGAATCCATCGGCCGTGAGTATTGCTGGTTAGATTGGCATTTCTTGAGCTCCGACGAAGGCAAAAGAGAACCGAGAGAAGGAAATCGTGCCCGAAGCGAAATTCACGGGACAGAAGGGAAGGCTGGAAGGGGAGGAAGAAGAATCGGCAGCTTATTTTTATCCCACATCGAATGGGACTTGCGATTCGATGTGACGTAAATCTTGATAGGAGGACATCCTCTAATTGCATACATTCAAGGGATGGAACGGGAGACTATCGCTCCAGGTGGAGATTTAACAAGAGAAGCGGTTTTCTTGTCTCGTTTACTCCCCGTAAGACCTCGTTTCAAGAATGACAGTTCATATCTGCGTCCCAAATCATTACTACTTTCATGCGAAATAGAAAGAATCTTAAATGTACCGTGAGAATATTAACCAATGGTAAACATTTATAACGAATGTCTAAATAAATGTATAACTGTAGAAAATGACATCAGAAATTGAGAAATTACGGAGAATAATGGATGGCTTTATGTACTAGATTTATAGCAAACGCTTATAAAATATGTAGATTAGATGAAAAATTAGGGCACCACCTTCGAATGGAACTTCCATAAAATATTATAAAATTTGAATATTTATTTACCAGAGTGGGTACTATGTATTTGGTCTCGAAACTCAATCGAGTTTCTTGATTTCGCTTCTTCCGATATTCATTTACATTTATGCCTGGTTCCGCCAACCTCGGTCAAAAAGTTAATCCTCGGTTACAATGCACGTTCCACCATATTTTAACGGCGGGTTAATTTGTCATTAAGCTCCGTTTAGATTAACCAGCCAAATTCGATCGTTTAGTTTTGGTTAATCGAACTTCAACTTAAAAACCTCGATTGAAAAGCTAATCCTCGATTATAAGGAGATGCACGTTCCGCAAGATTTTAATGGCGGATTAATTTCCATTAACCGCCGTTTAAATTAACCAGACAAATTCGATCGTTTAGTTTCGGTTAATCGAACTTCAACCTAAAAACCTCGATCAAGAAGTCAATCCTCGATTATAAGGAGATGCACGTTCCGCCACATTTTAACAGCGGATTAATTTCCATTAATCTCCGTTCAGATTAACCAGCCAAATTCGATCGTTTAGTTTCGGTTAATCGAACTTCAACCTACAAACCTCGATCAAGAAGCTAATCCTCCATTATAAGGAGATGCACGTTCCGCAAGATTTTAACGGCGGATTAATTTCCATTAACCGCCGTTTAGATTAACCAGCCAAATTCGATCGTTTAGTTTCGGTTAATCGAACTTCAACCTACAAACCTCGATCAAGAAGCTAATCCTCGGTTATAACGAGATGCACGTTCCGCCACACTTTAACGGCGGATTAATTTCCATTAACCGCCGTTTAAATTAACCAGACAACTTGAACGTCAAGTTTAACCTGCGGTTAAGTAATAAATGATTTACCCGAGGTTGATGGAACCGGGGATTAAGATTTCACATGAACTTAGAGACCGAATTTTCGTTGCAAGTTGTATCCGCGTGCGAGGTATATTTCGTTTGTTGATGAACCTGCGATTATATAGGAAAATGTTTAATTTATTGTAACGTTTGTTTACAGTCCCCCCGGACATCCTGGACTATCAGACCAGCACTGACATGGTTGTGCGCGAAGGAAGTAACGTAACCTTACGATGTGCAGCCACAGGTTCTCCGGTACCCAATATCACCTGGAGACGCGAGGACGGCCAAGTAATTCTCCTCGGGAACAAACAAGGTGATTTTCAGCACAGACGCGAATTCCCGGCAAAACTAAATGTAGGCCTTTCCACGGGCTAACAATCCCCCTGAATACGTCCGCCGGAGAAGAGGGAAAAATATATTTCCCCATGTAGAAAGGAAGGTCGGGTAACAAAAAGCTTTGCGCGGTACATAAAGCGACGGCTCTGTTTCCTGCCGCTTTTTAGGTTGACTTGGAAACAAGTCTTTATTAAATTAACCGAACTAATTAATTGTGGATTAAACTGACACCACTGACACGGACCAGAAGTGGAAATATTATTTTCTTGAATCAGAAACAGGATACAAAGATAATGCTTGGCTAAATACCGTACACGACGTGAACGTCATATTTTCCCTAGTAGCACAAAATATTTATCATACATTATCTATATATTTAACGAATATCGTACATTTCGTAAATATTTAACAGACATTTAAAATATTTGCATAACATTAGCCTCATTTTTTCCGTAATATTTATTCCTTACAGACGCATCGAAACATTTCGTTTTATTTTAATATAAATGTTTCTTTCAATATTATCTGCAGAATACATTATAAACGTCTTAAAAATGTTTAAAATCAAAATCACCCGTTTTGCGCCCATAACGAAATAGCACAACGAAAATCTTGCAAATCTTTTTCGTGCGTTTTAATATCAAATGGAGTGTTAGACAATACTCGAAAAGTAAAAAATGTATATACATATATATATTATATGTTTATAAATTATTCAAACTAAATACGTCACTGAGATTTTCAGCAAATATTTTAGATGTCTTCAAATGAAATCTACGGGATATCTTAAAAAATATGTCGCTTGAAATATTTAGCAAAGATCTCAAGAAAATATATGGAAATTATTATTATATACTAGGGTTTCAATCGTAAAAGGAAAAGTAATGCATGTAACTTGCCGATCTCTCATTTAACTTGGTATGATTTTAATGAGGCCATGGCACAACGTAAAGTTCCTATTGTTCGAAAAATGTTTCCCCCGGTAAGCATGAAACAATGTACGCGCAAAAATGGACCATTCTTTATGTTGAATTCTTTTGTAATTCGTTTTACCTTTTGGGGGGAACATTTCACGTCGCTAGATCGTGTGGCCATTTCGATTTTAAGGTAAATGAAACATCCTTCAAATCAGTCGATTCGAATACAACACTTTTTTTTAAGGGTATTAGACCAAACTGTCCAAAACTTTGACACATCACTCCTGATCAGCTAAGAATTGTCCTGACACATTAAAAATTTGGACCTTTCAAACAAATTCTTTAACTCAGTCCAGACCAGAACCAAAATGGCGTCGAGCTCTCATATTTTGATCAATATACAATTATCGAAGGCTCTGATATTAGAATCGAAAGGGTCAGGACAATTTTACGACAATTTAGAACACTCTGGTAATCGATAAACTCGCATTTGAACGGGATAAAGGCAAAAAAAGTGTTGTATGCGCTTCTTTGCTAAAACGATGGTAATACGAGGTCTCGGAGTGAAAATTTAATTGACCTGGAAATCACAGATGGCGCAGGGGATCCCTCCGCAGTCAATTAGGGCCCAGAAGGCATGAATCCAGAGGATTTCTGGAGTTTTACTTCGATTTCTTCATAATTATTGTACGAAAACGACAGGTGGAATATGCCATTTGGTACAATACACAATATAATTCGACCCAGCTGTCAATATAAAAACGAACGTCGGCAACGTAGGCATTTAGAAAAATCGTCTTTATCGACGTTGATCAAGTTCCTCGACGTGTTTCACTTCACCTTAAGAATCCTACGTAGGTAAACTGGATTTATTGAAATGTGCGTGTTGCGTGAAGAGCCACTTGTCGAATTTGTTGTACTATTTGCATTTTGATCGTTTCCAAAATGCGCTCTGAAAGCGTTTTGGCCCAGCTGATAGGAATACTTCCCATTCAATTCCACGTGGTTGTAACACTACTGCTGCACTTTCACGGACAATGCATTTCCCTCTGCAGTAACGACATTGTCAGACCTTTGTCCGGAAGTGAAGTACGAGGAAAATCTAAAAGGATCGTCGCGGTGGAGTCGGACTTCGCGTTTGTGGGCCGTGATGAATAGAATATACCTGCCATTACCTGGGGATTAATGCAGACGTAAATGCGTATATTACTATTATACTACGTACTGGTTATTACGGCTATTTAGGTTAATATCTCATTTCATATCCCAAGGGAATATCAAGCGCAAAAAGACCTGCCGCGTACTATGGTCCGGGTTCGGGGAACCATCACATAAGTCCTGTGACTAATCTCGCGTTGTGATACCAGGGGAACCATATTCTGACATTTTTCCCCGGCAATGCTTCCTCGGAATTTTTCTAATGTACTTACGTTAATCACTTAATCATTTAATTGGATTGTTCCAGTTACGCGATTTTTTAACGTTTCTTATTTCATGTTTGGTGCCCCTTCTGGCAGACCCTCTACTCTAGCGATGTAACGAGTCGAATACTTTACCAATTCGAGTTACTCGAATTGGAAATCATGAGCAGCTCGAGTTTGAACTCGAGTTGATATTTCGATGCGACATAACGATTACTCGAATAAAGAAATAAAGCGCGATCTTGGTCTCACTCTTGCACTCATAACTCGCATTCGTTTGTACTAATAACTTGAGGTACAAGAAACATGACTCGAGTTGACTCGAACACATGCTATATATATGTAAATATTGAGTAATTTATTATTTATACTGCCAAGACGATGGAAAAGTCGAGTGTACTAGTGTTGGAACAGCCATTATTCATGGAATGTTTAATGAAGGGAAATATTTAACGTCGTGTTTGGCAGCTGGGACGTGTTCAACCACTGGTGCACTTACCTTAATACCTTCGCTCCGTTTATACTACTGATAAAGACTTTTGTTAATAAATTTTCAACGCCGCTGAACACCGCTCTACTTATTCCGTGTTCGCGAGTACCTCGAACAAAAGGAGAAAATGTCCGATTTGTTTGGATTTGTTTAGACCCTCGAGAGCAGCCCCATCTGATCCGCGATCGCAAGGACAAGATGAACACTATACTTGCTAATCTACTAAATGATCCTTGATAAACAAACGAATCGAATGTACCTGTCATCGAACAGCCATTATTCATGGAATGTTTAATGAAGGGATATATTTAACGTCGTGTTTGGCAGCTGGGACGTGTTCAACCACTGGTGCACTTACCTTAGTAGCTTCGCGCCGTTTATACTACTGATAAAGACTTTTGTTAATAAATTTTCAACGCCGCTGAACACCGCTCTACTTATTCCGTGTTCGCGAGTACCTCGAACAAAAGGAGAAAATGTCCGATTTGTTTGGATTTGTTTAGACCCTCGAGAGCAGCCCCATCTGATCCGCGATCGCAGGGACAAGATGAACACTATACTTGCTCAACTATTAAATGATCCTTGATAAACAAACGCAAGGCGCCTTAGGAACTGTGTGCACTGCATTCGCGGCTCATCCAGTCTGGATATCCAGGCTGGATATCCAGCCCAAGTCTCCCAGGAGGATAAACATCCCGTGTTCGGCTGAGTCCAAGAGTTAGGACGAGGTGATACGTCTGTAGAAACAGGAAGCTCTTTTGTATTTGCCCTGAAATTCGCAAATACCGCGGGCGACTCCCAGAACGAGCCGGAACTCACTTCCGGTATTTTCATTTTGGTAAGAAATTGTAATCGGGATGGAGTCACCGGACGATACGAGTTGTATAGAGGTTTCTCTTGTGTGCACTTCTCTTTCTGCCAGTTCCACTGCGTTCATCCGGAGCTGAGTTTTGCCTTCCTGAATAATGGACTGAATCGGAAAAAAGTTGCCGGAAGACTCGGTTTTATCGTTCCACGACACTTACATTAAACCCGAAACATTCTCGCGTACAGAAACAACAGGACGGCGATTTTGAACGGTCGCGATAATTATACCAGATCCTTTCAATAATTAAAACATTGCACTGTGTATCAGCCAATATGGTCAGAAAGATACTGTTTCGTCGCAGTCTGGCTTTACGTTTTTGGAAATTAGATTGAGTCTGATATTTGAGAATTATTTGAAATGGAATACAGAAAATACGAGTAGCAGTGTAGCAGGTTATTTAACGCCGATGCAGTCCAACCAGATATAAAATGTAAAATGTAACTTGATAACGAATCGGATTCAAAATTGATTGCAGTTTGACATTTGAGAAATTTGTAGCGAAAGATGTATGAAATTCAAGTAGGGTTGTACAATCTTGTGTGTATCGATTATATACAACCGGGAATATAATAAAGATGTCACTCGACGACGACATGCAAGTTTAACGGAAGTCATTAACTAGGTTTCGAATCGCTCAATTTCATTTCGAATCAGCTGTTTCTATTACTAGTAAAATAAAATATTGTGCGGATAATTCACTGTTAGGATTAACAAAACGATTTAAAGTTTCGCGAGAGTATCGATAGGTTCCAAATCTATTACATCCATTCCGGATCGGCTTGTCGCTTAACTAGTGATACAAAATATTTCGTTGATAATTAATTATTCAATGTAATTGCTGGAATGGTTGAATAGATCCTCGCAAATTGGTCAAGATAGAAGACCAACAATGGATCCGGTTATCAAAATTAGGTAGTAGACGGTATTTGAATATCATCAGAGTTGCATCAATTAGAATGCAGTTGTTATTTCGTACTATACAGACGTAGAAAGTCTCATTTTTCTAACCACAAATAACCTAATATTTTTTGTTGATAGCGTTGCTATTTTGGGACCCTTCCGAGGTCGCCATTAACTATCATCATCACTTACCAACGCTTCCTGGAGATGCTACTTACATAACGTCATCTGCACGTTCGTGGAATGACGTACAAAACGCTTGAGGGGTAATTGCTCGAATCCTTCCCGGGTGCACCCATGTAACCCTCTGACCCTTGTGCCCAGCTACATTTACTTTGTTAGCAGGGTGCAAATATTCGGTCGAATTTAATTGTGGTCAACAGTTGCACGTAGGGCGGACTAGACTTCCAGATAAGTAAACCGAATTTGCCTCCTCAACCAGGGATGAAACGGCCTCTCGGAAGTTATACCCGTTTCCAATGTTAGCTAATGTCAATGTTGACATGATCTCACCCAATGAAGATACCGGTCTTTAGGATTTGACAATAGCATCGTTTTTGCGCGCATGTTTCATCCAACCCTTCTTTAGACCAGTCGAAGCTTACAGTAACAAACCAATCTGTATTTATATTCATGCTTAGTAGTGCAATATGCAAATATTTTGTTACGGACCAACTGGATCATAATTAAAAAGTAATATGAAAGGACAAGAGATGAGTTGCTGTTTATGCACTTCTGACGATGACTGTGTTGGATCTTTTTCTTCGCTTAAACGCGTACCCTGAACGGAAAAATGAATGGAAAGACGAACGCATTCATTATGCCGCACGCCACATTGAATGCTTAAGTAATGTCTTATCAGCATCCGATAATACCATTACTCACGCAGTATCGCTATCGCGTTTTACATTAAGCATACGATTATAATTTACTCGCGGCAATTCGCCTTCTTCTTTTTTATCGTGTACAGGAAATGAAACTGCATGCATGTCGACTTGGGGAAAAGTACGTATTAAAGATACAATGTGCATTGTATGAAATGATAAAAATGCAAGCTGAGGGTGGTGGCTTCATTTATTTTAAAAAAGTTATATTTAGTCCATGCACTAATAGTTTCTGATACAGTCGTCGTATTGAAATCATTGCTTATGAAAGAAATAATACGATTAATGATTATTTCATAAATGAACATTATTTGTGTTTTATGAAGCGTCTACATCCTTTTCACCATTTTATAAATGACGTTTCTAACAAAAAATGGTATTTAAGATAGCATTCTTTACTTTATTCACGTAATCGATCAAACTTATCGCGTGGATTTTTAATCTGGCAGAATTGAGATTAGGCGAGTTATAAAATGATTAAAATGATTTAGCCGATAATTTAATAACTTTGACAATGCGTTTTATAAAACGGTCAAGCGTATTGCGAAAAGTCGAATTCTACAAACTGGCCACGACGTACATGTTTATACTTTATTTAATCTTTTTATTAAAAACCATTACGTTTAGTATACATCAGAACTCGAGATACGCAATCTCCTTTTGAACGGTACAGCAAACTTGTACAACGGGGAACAGGGAGCTAGTGGGTTCGCAAAATCACTAATTACTAATACAGAACACTAATATACAAATCAAACCCTTCGTTTGACTTGTACATAACATAACCAGATTGTAAAATCCAGCTTTTTGTAAAGCGCTTAGCATCATTTTACCTTCCGGCTAGTCATTTTACAAAGCGACTAGGCGTTTCATAAATTGACTGGAACGGTTTAGCCAGAATGTAAAAACAGTCGGTAATTTAATAAAATTTACAATGCGGTTAGGCACTTTACAAAATGACGGGCCAGATTGCAAAATGCAGCTAAGCAAATGAAAATTTAACCACCTGGTCGCGTTTTATAAAACGGCCAAGCATATTGTGAAAAGCCGAATTCTGCAAACTGGCCACGACGTACATGTTTATACTTTATTTCATCTTTTTATTAAGAATCATTACGTTTAGCACACATCAGAACTCGAGATAGGCAATCTCCTTTTGAACGGTACAGCAAACTTGTACAACGGGAAACAGGGAGCTAGTGGGTTCGCAAAATCACTAATTACTAATACAGAACACTAATATACAAATCAAACCCTTTGTTTGACTTGTACATATCATAGCCAGATTGTAAAATCCGGCTTTTTGTAAAGCGCTTAGCATCATTTTACCTTCCGGCTAGTCATTTTACAAAGCGACTAGGCGTTTCATAAATTGGCTGGAACGGTTTAGCCGGAATGTAAAACAGCCTGTAATTTAATAAATTTGACAATGCGGCTATGCATTACACAAAATGACTGACCAGACAGGAAAATACAGCTAAGCAAACGAAAATTCGATCACCTGGTCTCGTTTTATAAAACGGCCAAGCGTATTGCGAAAAGCCTAATTCTACAAACTGACTACGACGTACATACGCAATCTCCTTTTGAACGGTACAGCAAACTTGTACAACGGGGAACAGGGAGCTAGTGGGTTTGCAAAATGAACGGAAACAGATGTCTACTGCGAATCACCGGTTATCGGGGACACGTATCTGTTTGTACGGTCGCCAGCTAAACACGTTCGCGATTGGGCAGCTATCGTTGATTAATGGCTAATCATCGGCGATCGACGCCAGTCGAGGACTTGGCGTTTGACACGATGGGAATAACCTTTAAACTTTCATTTTACACGTTTCATACCTTTTGCAAGGCGCGTCCGTGCGACCCTCCGGTGCATGTTGCGAAATGTAATTAATGGCGTTTCGTTGCCGACTGATTGCAGTGGCGAGCGTGGAGGGGTCAACTTTCAACATCATCAGAGTGAATCGATTGCACATGGGCTCGTATCTCTGCATAGCGTCCAATGGTGTGCCACCCTCTGTCAGTAAAAGGATTATGCTGATTGTACACTGTACGTATTGTTCTACAGAATGTTGTTCAGCGCACAATTAAACACTTTGCGAGACCCCGGCTTGCTTTGAGAAAGCTCTTTGTTCCTCCTTTCGTTGTGCATCTTCCACCTCTTCAGTTATCTTTCCTCTGGTTTGGGTTAAGCAAATATGACAGTAATTGCAGATGCGCTATCCATGCAGGTGTATGTGTGAATGGAGAAATAATTGTTTTTTCGGTATTTAAATTTAATTATGCTGATCGACTCGCATGGGGCAAAGTATATGAAAGTAGGAATGAATGGGTACATCATGTTTTACTGTTTCTTCGAGGTAATTATATTATGTTCCTTTCTTCTCTCTTTAAATGTGCATAATGGGAATGACTGTAATGTTTTCAATTTTTATACTATAATATAATTAATATACTATAATAATCGTCCTTATATCAAATAAACTAAGTACAACCAAAGAGTATAACAAACTATTCTGACAGATGAGTCATCATCCTCGCGTTATGTTGAAAGCATTTAATTGCGTTATTTTTCCAAGTGTTTGGATGTTTACTTTACAGCTTATTTGGGTATAATATCCCTAGTTATATTAAATAAACTACGTACAACCAAAGAGTATAATCTAAACTATACTGACAGATAAGTCGTCACCCTCGCGTTATGTTGAAAGCATTTAATTGCATTATTTTTCCAAGTGTCTGGATGTTTACTTTCCAGCTTATTTACGTATAATAATCGTCCTTATATCAAATAAACTAAGTACAACCAAAGAGTATAACTTAAACTATTCTGACAGACGATTTGTCACCCTCGCGTTATGTTGAAAGCATTTAATTGCATTACTTTTCCAAGTGTCTGGATGTTTATTTTACAGCTTATTTGCGTATAATAATCGTCATTATATCAAATAAACTAAGTACAACTAAAGAGTATAACCTAAACTATACTGACAGACGAGTCGTCACCCTTGCGTTATGTTGAAAGCATTTAATTGCGTTATTTTTCCAAGTGTCTGGATGTTTGCTTCAAGCGGCAAGACGCAAGAAAAGCACTCGACGAAAGCGTGTCGCGAAGCTTTTATTTTTCCCAACGATCACGCTTAATTTTCCGCTCACGGGTTGATTGCATTTCGCGTGAAGAGAAAATTCCTCCGCGAGACTTTCCTTAAAGAAATTCGTATTCATAAAGATATTCCCCACGTTGTTCCCGCGGAGTTGAAAAGGAATCGTCACCGGCTCTGTCGGGAGACAATATAAACGTTACGACGAGGACGTCGTAAGATTACGTATTCGCCGAGTGACCTGTTTTTTACATTTTCCAATTCTTTCGCGCCGCGAGGTAACGGGGGGAAATATTAAAACCGCAATAACATTATATTCCAACGCGAGGGAGAAAGTTATTCCAAGTTGGTCGTAACAGGTTTTTACATAAGACCGGCTCAAAGTTCGCCACGCTAACAGGAAGCTCGTGAGATGCATTAAGAGAGCATCGTTCCGAGTGCCACTGTCTGCCAGGCACTTCGTCGAAGTGCCATTGTGCCCCCGACACTTCCCCGGCCACTTTTTAAAGCAACGTCTTTAAGGAAAATATAAACCTTCGCCCATAAATCCCCTGGCACGTAACGCGTCTTTCGTCCGCCATCTTGGGATTTCAAGTGTGGTTTCAATTTTCATTTTCTGGCGGAACGCATTTATTTATCTTGGCCTTGGAATCGGTCATGTTGCCGGAAGGTGTTTTTCTTGCAGGTGAGACACTCAATGCAATCGTGGTATCTAAGAAGAAAATAGAAATGTCTAAAGAGTACCACACGGAATTAATTATTTTAGGTTCAGGAATTACACTGACAGAAATCAGAGCATGACTGCCAGGCGCGTTGGAAATGCATCTAAGTACAGAGAATTATAAGATATTACTTACAAAATGCAATCGTGGTATCTAAGAAAAATAGAAACGTTTAAAGAGTACCACACGGAATTAAGTATTTTAGGTTCAGGAATTACACTGACAGAAATCAGAGCATGACTGCCAGACGCGTTGAAAATGCATCTAAGTACAGAGAATTATTAGATATTACTTACAAAATGCAATCGTGGTATCTAAGAAAAATAGAAACGTCTAAAGAGTACCACACGGAATTAATTATATTAGGTTCAGGAATTACACTGAAAAAAAATCAGAGCATGACCGCCAGGGGCATTGGAAATGCATCTCATCTTTCAATGAATATCTCACATTTTTCTGTAACGTAGTTTTTAGAATATTTTCCTTAGATATCAATTAATATCTCATATTTTCTGTAACGTAGTTTTTAGAATATTTTCTTTAAGTTTCAATTAATATCTCACATTTTCTGTAATGTAATTTTTACAATATTTTCCTTAGATTTCAATTATTATCCTATATTTTCTGTAATGTAGTTTTCAGAATATTATCTTCTTAGGTTTTAACTAATATCTCATATTTTCTGTACACTTGTTTTCTTTATTAGAATTTTTTATAAATAGTAAGTCTACAAAGAAACGCGTTTGCCGCGTACACTTTTTCTCTTATCAAAGTCGCTTTTTGTCTCGCCGTTAATCGGCTACACCAGGTCGAGTAGTTTAGCCACTAAATTACTTGCTCACCATGAAATCGTGTGATTGCTAGTTGCGAACCGAGAATGCATGGAGGGGTTCAGGCTTTATTAAACCCTTTGTCACCCGCTCCTGTATAGATGCATGCGTTCATGAATTCGGTACACCATATGGAAGAGTATGTAGTGAAACTTCCGCGGAGGGGATCGATTAATTTGATGAACTGCTGATACAAAATGAAATAGTGGTCAATATATTCGACGCCAATAACGCCGTTCAATCTAACATTGTTAAAAGATGATGAACTCTTTTGATAGTTTTTCAATGATTCTGAAGGTATTACACCCTGTCATTAAATTGCAACAGCAACAATAAATGAGGGGATGACATTAAATTGTTAAAAAAAAGGTTTATTATGTTAGCGTAACAAATCATCTAAATTTTATGTACTCTTAATCAGAAGCAACATTGTCGCAATTTCATTTGTGGCAATTAAATATGTAAATTAAGTTCTTCCCTTAAATTCTTGGCGTTGCAATTTTCATGATCCACAATGTATTTAATGATTACTTCATATACCGTCATACGATAGCGTATGAAACTCTGGTCAGTGTGTATTGGTTGTGTTTCTTCAAGAATTAAAATAATGCTTTTGAGAAAACTCTTCCAACAGAATTTAGTTAATGCTAAAATCACAATCTGTACTGGAAGCATGTCTTGCAAATGTTTTTCTAGTTGGACGTTCATTGATACTAAATATCGTAAAATCTAACAATGTCATTCATTATCAATAAACATGGTAACGTAATGGAATTAAAGAACATTGAAGTACGAAGGACCTTCTCGCTTTCTTTGAACAATGCTTAACCTAAATTGACGAGATTAAAGTGTTCTGAGAAATCTCATCTAATGACTATAACGCTTTAAAATTAATTTTTATTAGTAGAAATAGTATTACAGCATGTCAATTGATGTTCAATTGTCGAATATGGATATTGTACTCCTCTCTAAAATTCCACCTATGAGAAAATTCAAGTAACTAACATATTACTTTACGTAGGTATTACGTAACAAATGCAGTGTTTTATATAGTACATTGCATTTTGAGTTTTATATCTGGTAAATCATGGTCTGCACACTTTCACGCAACTTCCAACAGAGCATTATTTCAGAAATGCATTGTGCTGTGCAAGGATAATGCATAGATGCACATAACATTCTGTAACATAATAGTCACAGCGATTCGAAATCCATTCCTTTCTTTACTAACCGTTAAATAGTAGTTAGTATATGCGTTACCCTACAACTTTAATTTCTCTGATGATCCTAGTTCCACCGATGGTTGACATTCAGAACCAACTAGTTGGTGCTCGTGAAGGACAAGCCATAACGTTGGAGTGCATCTCCGAAGCTTATCCGAAGTCTATCAACTATTGGACCAGAGATATGGACGAAATAATACCGCAAGGTAAGTTCCTACCCACAGATACATATTTTAAACATTGATACACGCACGATTAAGTGTTTTGAAATACATAATCCACGCCGAAAACACTAGAAAACATCAGCTACAAGTCAGACCACCATGAATAAATGCCCCAACTATGTAGAGATAATTGAGAGATAACACTGAGTGTGTCTGAAGTCAAATGTGCGGCATTTTGTTTGCTACTTGTAAATGGTCTCAATGAAAAGGACCCTTTAGAGAACTATGACTTTCTCTAGAACAGTATTATATCATTTAGATTTTGTATCACGTCTAGGTATTTTTTATAAATCGATATCAAATTACGTACTAATGAGCCGAGCACTCGCTTATATCAAGGCAATCGAAATTCGTTCCATCGTAATAGTTGTTCTCATGGGACGATGCTTTCTGGCTGGGCCACAAACTTGCCTCGAATCCCCTGAGAACCTGTCGGGTAAACGAAGTTATCCCATAGCCGAGTATCCATGACCGACATCTTCGAAAAATTTCATGAGGTAAATCTTTGTTAAGAGATCAATAAGTGTTCTTCATGCCGGAAGGGATCATCCATTCCTTATCACTCGAAGTTTTCAAAAAGCTAGGTGGTGTCGTTTAGCTTCTGGTAATGAACGATTTCAAATGGTATTTACAGTATTTGCGTAAAGGAAAATACTAAAGCATAGTAAAGTTAAGAATAAGGAATGACAAAGTATGTAACAGAGTGGTGACGAAATAATTGATGTTTCTGTACACTGTCGGTACATGAAGTACGCAATTACTTGTGCACCAACCTAAGACTACCCAATGTAAATGTAATCCAGGTCCCTCGAGCTAGGAAACAGTTGCATGTGATTACATGGCAACATGAGATGGTTTGCTCTCTACGTGATGTTATTTACACGTCTTGATTCATCTGTGTTCCGTTTACGCGTAGCAGTGAATTAAATGCAGTTGATCCTGTACGTTCTTCCTTCAATCTGTACTAGATGTGTAATTGTCGTTTCTCATAATCTTCAGTCCTTTTTGCTGATATACGAACACTAAGGAAACAAAGACAACTCGGATAACATCTGCACATCTCAGATGAAAATGATATACAGCGAAGAGCTACTCACCGCTCAATCAACTTAAATATCAGACACAGGATAGAGACACCAGGTCTGACTTTTGCGATGGGGCAGAAATCGCGCCTTTCAATCCGTATAGTGGCTCTCACAGATGAGAAATAACTGCCCTAATCATCTCCAAATCTGCATGGACGGCGCCCTTTTCAATGTCCGCATTAGGCGGTATTACCGTTTCCATTTAATAATTGGCCAAGTGGAGGCACTCTTTCATCCTCCGGGTCCATCTCGTGTGTAGCTTCGAGCTTTCAGGACGACGAGGCCTCGCAGAATTTATCGAGCTCTTCCATCTTTTCCGAGGTACTCCCGACGAGTGCCCCACTGGACGGAACATCCTATTTTAGGGAGACGTTAGGCAGATTTTCGGCATCCCCGGCGAGAAGAGGAGCTCACAAGGGGCGGCCACCCGAACGCTCTGAATGGTGTCGATCTAAACTGAAATCACGTTAACTCAGCTACTCGCGCGCACCGAATACCCAAGTAAGGTAGACACGCGAATGGGCGAGGTCGTCTTCCCGGTTTGATTGAACCATTGTGACCTAATGCCGAGAACCTGAGAAATTTCTCCGGCGAAATTCGTCCCAGTATCGCAACCATTTCCGGCCCCGACCCCAGTAATGCGATTTACTGATGCGCCTATTGACGGCCAGTTCTATCTGCTCCCTTTAGGCGTTTATCCGTCCGCTCCTCTCTCTTATCCGTCTCATCGCGATTTATTATAATGGCCTGGCGATTTGCACGTCTTCGGGGATTGCTATCCTCGCACCTTTCCCGCCTAGTTAACTGTGGGTCGCTGAAACTGTATACCCAGAGCTCGTAAAACTTATTTTAGTTTGCGGCCCGTCAAAAACGATTACGAGTTTACGAGGGGTCGTTTCGTTTACCTTCTCCTCCCGTCAAATTGACGGACTCGATTTTCACTTTTTGCCCGGGTCACTCTTCTCGGATTTCCCGAGGTGCCAGGATCCTCCTGGCCGGTCGAGCCAGCCGCTCCAGAGGAGGTGTTCGTTCATCCGAAAATCGTTATTCGTTGGACATGGGTCTGCTCGTGTGCAGTTCCGACTGAAATCTGGAGGAAATGCAATGAAGGCATTACACTAATCGATGAATTGAGGACTGCAATTATCCGCTTTTGCTAGGAAGTTTCCCTTCCACATTACTCTGTGGTGTTCTCAAAAATAGAGGATCTTCTCGCGTTAGATTTCGCAAGATGATTGCGGCTTGTTCATGTTTGAAACATTTCAAATCCCTGATACTATAGAACCTTTAATACTATCGCAATGAAGGCATTGCACTAATCGACAAATTGAGGACTGCAATTATCCGCTTTGGCTAGGAAGTTTCCCTTCCACATTACTCCGTGGTGTTCTCAAAAATAGAGGATTCCTCGCGTTAGGAGATTTCGCAAGATGATTGCGGCTTGTTCATGTTTGAAATATTTCGAATCCCTGATACTATAGAACCTTTAATACTAATGCAATGAAGGCATTGCACTAATCGACAAATTGAGGACTGCAATTATCCGCTTTGGCTAGGAAGTTTCCCTTCCACATTACTCTGTGGTGTTCTCAAAAATAGAGGATCTTCTCGCGTTAGGAGATTTCGCAAGATGATTGCGGCTTGTTCATGTTTGAAATATTTCAAATCCCTGATACTATAGAACCTTTAATACTAATGCAATGAAGACATTGCACTAATCGACAAATTGAAGACTGCAATTATCCGCTTTGGCTAGGAAGTTTCCCTTCTACATTACTTTGTGGTGTTCTCAAAAATAGAGGATTCCTCGCGTTAGACGATTTCGCAAGATGAATACCTGCGGCTTGTTCATATTTGGATCGTTTCAAATCCTCGATACTATAGTATCTTTAATACTTATGGAACTAGAGAAATTGATGATGCATCTGCCGCTGATAGACAAACCCTTAATACTTATCTTCTCAACTTAATGTATTTCAAGTATATCAGCGGCAGAAGTGGATCACTGCCAAGAATGTACTTCTGCTTATCATTTCCTGATACCTTCGCTACCTGAATAAATCATTCTCTGATTGCAACCCGAGGCAACATGTTCGATCACAAGATCTTCCTCTTACAGTTTAAAGGAGAACATATATCCGGATTTATAAACGTGCCCTCCCGTCTCTATGATTTCAGGTGACAAGTACGAGCCAGTGCTCATGGACAACGCGTACAAGGTGCACATGAAGTTAACGATCCGCTCGGTAACATCCTTGGATTATGGGTCCTACAAGTGCGTGTCACGCAATTCCTTGGGCGATACCGACGGCAGTATCAAGCTTTACCGTGAGTGTCCCTAACCGTTTCATATCATCTTGTGACAACCTTCTAGAACGAAACGGATGCGCTATTTTAGCTTCTACCCAGATTCGCGAGATGATATCTCGAGTCGAAGGTTTGATCCTACTTACAAGGAAGTTATCCCAGGTCGATCTCTTCGATTTGATTTCTTTTACAATAAGTTATAGTAGATTCAAAACTAAGCGACGCGTGTTTTTCTTGATCTGCCATTAAACACTTCAAGGGGATGAAACCACCATCCAAGGTAAGGCATGTCAAGGGGCGATTTGGCAGTTTCACCCACAAGAACATAATATTTTTTAACCAATCCACCTGAAAAAGCTTTCTCATAACGAGACATAAAATGGTTAAGAAAGGTGTACAAGGTCGATAATAGGGCTTAAAGAGGGAAATGAGACCAATTTTTTATCAATGACATAAGAGTACATTGGATTAATCCTTTGACTAAGGAACCTTTTCGACATGTGGGCTAAATTCATTAATGCGTACAGGCAACATTGGACCAAACGTCGGATGCCTTTAGACGCCAAAGGATTAACCCTTTCGTTACCTTGGACGAGATATCTCGCGACCCAATACTGGCCGATTAACGCTTTTGACGAGATATCTCGCGACCCGATACTGGCCGATTAACGCTTTTGACGAGATATCTCGCGACCTGATACTGGCCGATCAACGTTTTTGACGAGATATCTCGCGATCCGGTAGTAGCTGTATTTATTTCTTCCTTTTAGCTATACGAATAGAATTAGTTATAAAATATATTCATCTAGAATGTCAAAATATTGGTGCTAGAAAGCTAGATTATCGTCAAAGGCGTTAATCCGTTACTACCGGATCGCGAGATATCTCGTCAAAAGCGTTGATCGGCCAGTATTGGGTCGCGAGATATCTCGTCCAAGGTAACGAAAGGATTAAGAAGGGTGTACAAGGTCGATAATGGGACTTCAAGAGTGAAATGAGATCAAAGGAGGACTTAGGTTCGAAGTAGGGCTAAAATTTCGACTCGAGGCTATTCGTCTATGTAGCTTTCTGCCGTCAGGGTGACTCGGGGGTCCCAAAACCGGGACGAGCAATGCGCAATCGATACGGTGCTGGTGATTGGTACCTTGCGACACGCGGGACCAAATTCATCGGGAGATTGCGCCGTGCCGAATATATTAGACCTTGTATTCATTACAGAACGCTGCGGCTTAAATCAATCGCGAATTCGATTAAGTGCGATTTTGCACTCGGTCGACAAGCTTTCACCGCTAACATCGTCCCATTCCGTCCTCGGTACACCATTATCCCTATCTAGCGGCCTGTTTGCGTCCTCTCTCGCATCGCATAAATGGGAATTTCGACACAGGGCCGCCGATTGCGATACACCTGTCTACCTTTGCTGCATTCAGTAGCCACGCGATGCACGGTGCACTCGACAAATTCGTCTTATCGGAGCTACCGACACGTGGATCCGACGCCGTGAACATTAGCGTAAAGGGCTCCTCTGTGGAACGCATCCTTCGATTAGCATATCATTTTCGAAATACTCTATCTTGAAAATCGACTCCTTGAGGTACATTTCGAGTAGATGTTTTCAACCTTTGACAAGATTTGGCAGTTTAATTGACATCGATAACTTCAACTTGGATATTAATCACTTTACCGACCAGTGAACTTGAAAGTAAATGGCAATCACGGGAATCGCAAAACCGATTAATTCTTCCGAAAGGTAGAGTTAAAATTCGATGTACCCGGGGACAGGAAATCGAAACGATATATCCCTAGACTGGTAACAATCACAAGAGGGAGTGAAACTTTCGTTTCGAAATCATTAATATTAATGCAAAAATGAAGTTTGTCGGTGTGTTGATTAGGGAACGCATAGTTCGATGAATCTCTTATCTCGATTAATGTGCTTCCGAAAGGTAGTGTTAAAATTCGATGTACCCGGGGACCGGAAGTCGAAACGATATATCCCTAGACTAGTAAAAATCACAAGAGGGAGTGAAACTTTCGTATCGAAATCATTAATATTAATGCAAAAATGAAGTTTGTCGGTGTGTTGATTAGGGAACGCATAGTTCGATGAATCTCATATCTCGATCGCACGTCGCCGTCATAATGGGCGGAGTTCGTAGCCGAAATTTCCCCGAGATCACGTAGCTCGTTCCGAAACTGGATTCCGTTAAATTAGCGCAGCCCAAAGTAAAGTGGCAGACATACACGGTATTTACATTAGAGGGATTGATGGTGAAATTTGTCTTGGGGTAATTGCGAGTGCGGTATTCCCGGATTATAGGGCGGTTTTGTTGTGTCGTTCCGATGGGCACAACTATATCCGCTCGTCCCCAATTCGGGGAACTATTCATCGTTTCCACGAGTGGACTAGACCGACTTTCTTAGAAATCTAGAATGCATCGAACTCGTATATACATATACGGGAGAATATCCCATCAACCTATATGCCACCTTAACTCCGTTCACTTTTCCGTTCCAGGAATACCGCCGAGTTCTGGTTCGCATTCTACGTACGCCAACGACACTAAGTACAAGGGTGAGTACCGGCCCTACAAGTAATGCAAGCTAGACCATAAGTGGCCCACGTGAAGTAGCCTCTACGTATCGATTAATTCCCAGTCCGATTAATGCCCGGTTCCACCAACCTCGGTTAAATCATTGATTAGCTAACCGTAGGTTAAAGTTAACGTTCAAGGTAATCATGGGTTAATGTACGTAAATGTTCTACCACATTTATTTAGAGCGTGATTAAGCGGGTATTATCGTCTAAAAGCTTGTCTTTAAGTAATTTTTAAAAATTAATTTTGCGATAACTATCAAACCTACAGTGCCGGGGTTTTTGACGCATACTAAGGTGAAGTGAAAGACGTCGAGGAACTCGATCGACGTCGATAAAGAAGATTTTTCTAAATGCCTACGTTGCCGACGTTCGTTTTTATATTGACAGCTGGGTCGAATTACATTGGATATTGTACCAAATGGCATACTCCACCTGTCGTTTTCGTACAATAAATATCAAAAAATCGAAGTAAAACTCCAGAAATCCTCTGGATTCATGCTTTTTGGGGCCCTAATTGACTGCGGAGGGACCCCCTGCGTCATCTGTGATTTCCAGGTCAATTAAATTCCTCGTATTCCCATCGTTTTAGCATGGAAGCGCATACAACACTTTTATTGCTTTTATCCCGTTCAAATGCGAGTTTATCGATTACCAGAGTGTTCTAAATTGTCGTAAAATTGTCCTGACCCTTTCGTTTCTCATATCAGAGCCTTTAATAATTGTATATTGATCGAAATGTGAGAGCTCGACGCCATTTTGATTCTGGTCTGGGCTGAGTTAAAAAATTTTGTCCCAAAAATCCAAATTTCGAATGTGTCAGGACAATTCTTAGATGATCATGAGTCATGTATCAAAGTTTCGGACAGTTTGGTCCAATACCTTTAAAAAAAAGTGTTGTATTCGAATGACGTAAGTAAAACTTAAGTGGGAGTACTTGGTTACTAGATATTACAAAAAAATTTCGCCTGAAGGGTAATTCACCCCCTTGAGGTGGAGTAGCATTATTGGACAATATTGTGTGTTCACCGTCCTTATACAGAATACGTTTATGCCAAGTTTCGTCGAAATCCCTCCCCTGCTTCTACGAAAATTAATATAAAAATCGAATTTTCTCTAAACTTCGGGGGGTTGTTTCACCCCTTGAATGTGGACCATTGCAGATAAAAGAAAGCACGTGTCTTAGATTTTTGTGTTCTTGACATATATAAAAATCAATAAGATCGGCGGCGGGCACTTGGGAATGTTTCCTTGTTAGAGTACGTAACACAACCCCTCGTCAAAGAAGCAGAGTCCTTTTTCTGCTGATCGATATCAAGCCATAAAATAAAGGCGGGAAGCTCGGATGGTTTTGTCGCCGCCAACTATCGAAGGCGTCGCGAGAGGCGACGACAACAGGTGGCAACAGAAGCCGGTCGACTAATTCTAATGTACCTGCCGAAGACAAATGACTCCTGTCGTGGAAGTACACGATTTGCCGGCATAACAAGGTCATTATTGGCAGTACTAGGATGAGCCCGTAACTCGGCTAGGAAGGGACAGCGCGTCGTAAACGTAAAGGCCGCCTGTAATGGAGGGACGTCACGTGCTGTCCCAAGGTGTCCCGGGCGGAGCCTTGAGTGATTAACCGAACTAATTAATACAGCGCATAACGATCCCTTTGGGAACGAATTCCTCAAGGTCGGTTACGACGTTCCACCTAGAATACCTCACGTCACTCGGTTCCGCCGATACCGGTATATTTATAATGGCATCACCTTCGGGACATTGATTAACTGATCCCGCCGATGAGCAACTTCTGATAAACCTTCCGAGGAACCATCCAAACATTTGATAATGCCATTACTCCCACACCCCTAGAGCAGGGTATGTTTAAACAAGAAATACCCTAATGGGCATTGAAATCGTAACAACAAGAATTAGTAGTGGGAAATTAATGACATTCGTGGATTTCATTACTAGATCTAAGATTAGGATGCTATGACAATTGTATTTCTTGTTATAACCGACTTGCAACTTTTTCGTATTTCTTCCTCTTCTTTGAAGGATCTTTGTAAAGCTTGGGGTATTTAGTCATGGTGTTTCTAGGCGTTGCGATTTCAATGGCCACTTGTACAGATGTCAGTTGATCATCGTGGTAGGAAGTACTGTAGTCATGATATCCAGGTGGGAGAGGAAGATGGGCAAGAAGAACGTAATGGATGGTAACTTGATTGTTCTTTTTCAATATGACTTCTTTGTATACAGGCGTGTTATGCAAAGACACAATTGTACGTTATGTCATGTTAAACATGGCTAGCGTAAGTTAGGGCAAGATCTGTGAGATCTTATGGGGATGAGTTGGATGCTGCGAAGTTGGATGTTCCTTCCTGGTTCCTTAGATCGATTTCTGGACCACATTAGAGCAGTTTCTTTGGATGTCCTTGGATGTTCGCACTTTATGGACCATCGGACTCCTTGGTGCCAGTCTTTCCTGCTTCCAAAAAATAAGGGTCCCGATGCGATCCCGATCCCAATGCGTTCTAACTTGGTGCGTCCGCATCAGTGTGTGATGTTCCACTTCCTTTGTAAAAAAACAATCCACTCAAACGGATCTTTATCTCCCCTAAACACTTACACATGATATAGACAGGTGATTCGTAGTTCGTTGTCGTCCAGTCTGGTCCAGTCGTCAAACATTCGTGGAACAAACTATACGCAATATGGAATAGAGATAATAAAAAGCTGTTGATTTTGTAGAATAATTAAAAAACACTGTACTTGTGGGATTTACGTTAAGTTTACGTAAAGATGAAAGGAATAGAAATGAAGCTGAATATGCATTTAGAAGTATTAAAGACGAGAAAGGAAGACAACGAAGATAATTCCTCAATACACTTCTGTAACAAACTACTGATTAATAAAGACTAAGCGGAAACAATTATTGGATAGTTTGCAAGGTGATCATCGCGTCTGCTGTAAAAGGCAAACCTTTACATCAAATGGAATAATGTTCCCTTCGATCGATAGGACCCTGAGCCCTTTAAGCGGCTTTTACTTGAAGGCGTTGTAATCATTCAGAACAAGCTTCAGTGTTACCTGAAAGCTGCTTATTATGTGCTCATAACAGTAATTACTCCTAACGATCACATCTCAAAATTCAAGGAAATTAATCTCGCGGTACCCCGTAGACAACAATCTAACGACACACTGTTGATTTAGATCCACAAATAACACACAACAAGTGAAATTTTTACAACAGTACAAGTCCCAGCGCGATCACTTAAAGTTCATTATATCCCTCGTCAAATTCTAACCACGGCTGACGTATCACTCAAAAATAATGCCACATCACATCAAAATGATAATCTTCCACGAAACAACCTTATCATGACAACATGCTGTATTTCAAATTTCATCAAATTGGATTAAACGTCAAAAGTAATCTGCGTTTAAGAACAGAAATGTTTAAAAGGAGATATAAAACATTTAAAATTACCAATTCCATCGCTATAGTTCATTGCATCTTTGAATAGGTCTTATTCAATTTCCAAATTTGCGTTCATGTGACATGCAAATACCTAATGTGTTAGTCCAGTCGTTTTAATGTGTTATCAGGCTGCAGGTATGGTTGAAAATATACCAGATTAATTCGTAGAGAGACGCGATAATTGAGCCGCTCAGTGCACACATTGATTAACTCCATAGAACAAAAAGTTGAGAAATGCGATGAAGTAATGTAGATTCTTTTTTAAAATTCCTATTATAATATAACTTCAAATATATAATGTAGAATACATAAATACAGTTATAGTTTTCATCTAACGGTATATAAAATTAATAAGAAAGAATAGCCAAAAAATAATCTGTCTGGATTTTATATCGTCTGGATTTTATATCGACAAATGTTTTTGCAGGTATTAAATTTCCTCCCCTATTCCTGTATGCCAAACCTTTTGTTCCGTTATGCTTTTGTAAATTTCGTGCCCATTTATCAGGATTACGACTTCTTTTCCTCCCAATCGATGTGTTTGTTGGGGAATTTGTACCGTTGCAATCGGATGAATCCGAGAAACACGATAAACGTCTTCTTGCCCCAGACTTTCTGCTGATAAATCGTATTGAAGAATCATCCCTGCTTTCCACATCCACATTGTTATTAGTTTCACTCATCTTGATTATAACGGTATAATATTTAGTTCTTTAAAAACAATCAGGGAGTAATGTTGAAAAGACTAAAAAATATGTAGTCCGTGTAATATTGGTGAAGTATACAGTAACATTTAGCGTGAGAGATCACCGTTATACTAACTACCGTCTGCATTGCGATTCTTTCTATCCGTTTGCTGATGCGATTTTATTACTCATATTGTTGAAAGGGGGAAAGCATCTTCGGCTGTTTAAAAAAAAAAAGCGTCGATGTACGGCCGCAACAGATAATCCAATAATACTATACTGCCAGGTATTCGTCTACGATTTACATTAGAGTATGGAGTTAATCAAAATTATTCAATGCCAAAAAAAATGTTGCCGTTTAATGGTGTTAATCTCTATTAATCAGGAAAGATATTATAAATATAAAAAGTTATGACTATACCAAGTGCTTTGACACCTAAATTTAAGACTTTTCAAAAAGTGGAGTTAGTCGATGTGTGCACTGAGCGGCTCAATTATTAATAAGATCAGTTCCTCCCAGAATGACGCGTTTCCAAAAGTAGCCGTAATTCTCCAAGGGGAATTGAAGTTTTGCCCTGGCGGTCGCACGAAATTTAGCGAGGCATAATCTTGAGTCCTGTGTTCAGGAGTGAACCGCAAATACACGTACGTTAACTCCAAGTTATAAGCGAATATTAGCACCAATCCGATTAGCGTTAAGCCCCATCGTATATGCATCTGCAATACAAATAGCACGGACCTGCCCAAGCATTGTGCAACGAGTGCACGTATGCCGGCACACAAGTGGCTTTTCAATTGAATCACTGCCAACACTTTACAAGGAT